TTAACAGTTCTTTTCTAATCCACATGGCTCAGTATCTAGCCTAGTCAGTGCTTCCACATAAGAGCTAACAAACTCATTGACTATTTATACACAGACACTAATTGCAATTTAAAAAGCCACAGATGTGGGACATTAACCTCTAATTGGCATTTTAATCCCTGTGTGTGTCACCTTGTGTGTCTGTACCAAGGCCAAACATTCTAGAGTATGTAAACTTTTGATCATGGCCATTTGAGTGATTTCTGTTATCATTATGATTTAAAAAGGAGCTAAACAACTATTTGATAATAAATGGCTTCATATGATCATCATCCTTCAATAAAAGAGCATGTTTTGGCATGATCAGTCCTATTTTCAATATCAATGCCAAAACTTCACAATTTCTGCCAGGGTATGCAAACTTTTGAGCACAACTATAGCTAGACTCTGTTGTTTTATCGTCCTAGAGAGACTATGCTTTGTAGCCATGTTTTCCTGTTTGATCCACAGATATATATTGCTGGGAAGAATCCATGTTTTTGTAGCTTTCATAATCTGTTTTGTATAATTCTGCAATGCATGCATGCTCTTTGTCATCATGAACCTGCATTATTGCTTCTGAATTTGCTCCTAATGATTTGTTGATTGACAGGGGCTCCAGCTGGAACCTCACTGTCAAACCGCAGTTGCAGCCTATAGGCATTACCTTCTGGATTGCAGCACACACAGGCGAGGAACTAGTTTTCCCATCTGAGTGTGATGTAATCAAGTGCCCTCCACCAGCTATCCAGAAGAGGTGAAGTGTGTGTGATTATGTGACCAAGCTGTAAGACTTAATAAATACAAGTGAAAAAAAAATTTGTAAGGTGAAAAGGATTGTTTTTTTTTTCAAATAAATGATGAAATGCTCATTACATAATATACGGTATCTATTTAAGATGTGTCTTAAAGTCCAGATGGCTGCTTAGACAGTCAGGGAACAAAATCACACTGGTTAGCTCATACTTGTGCCTACCATCGTAAACATGTTCCCAGTGTTAGGCTAATAGCTAGAGAGCAAAAAGTCTGATTGGTTCAGGCCCGTAGTAGTACCTCTACCACATTTCCACTGTGCTGGGAATTAGAGGAAACAACAGGTCAGACCATAGGTACACGAATAAAGTGTTACTAAACGCAGGACCCTGCATTGGCAATATCTGGTCTCCCACAGCAAACAGTACATGGAAGTGCAATTATTTTAGTAAATATAAACTGCTAAATACCTTTCTCATCAGCAGTTAGAGCAGTCTTGTGACTTCTTTCAGGGTCCAGAAGAGCACATATTAAAGCTTGTAGGAAGAGTTTTCATTTTGCTCTAGGAGGATGCAGAACCCTTGACCTCTGTCTGGACAGTGCTGATTGACCTTGTGCTGATCTCATGCACTCTCCCAAGAAAAGAAAAAAATTTTCTCTAGCAATACACACCAAACGGAGCATTTGCAAAGTGTCTCCACATGATATGTTGTATAGGGACGTAAGAGGGGACACTGGGTGTAAGAATAGATGAGGAAAAACAGAAAAAAATTTGTAGATGAATTCATGAAAATATAAACATGCGGGAGGTAGAAATGAACTATAAATGTTTGGCAAGATGGTATATTACACGGAGTGTGGCACATAGATTGAGTGGAGATAATTCACCTTTGTGTTGGCGGGGATGTGGAGGTAGAGGCACTATGTTTCACATATGGTGGGAGTGTCCTAGAATACAGGAGTTCTGGAAGAAAACAGTGTACCTGATTCGGAAAATTACAGAAGCTGACATTATATTAGATCCAGAGACCTGCCTTTTTCATAACACTAAGCTCTCAGTCAAAAAGTATAAGAATTCTGGTATATTGTATTATTTGAATGCAGCTAAGGGCTTGATACCCAAGTTCTGGCGGAGACAGGAGGTGCCGAAAATAGAGGACTGGGTTGATAGGGTGGATCAAATATCTAAGATGGAGGAACTTTACCATATGAATGAAGATAAGATGGAGAGATATTATATAAGATGGAATAAATGGGAGGAATTTAAAAATTCAAAAAGTCAAGGTTAAATATAGAATGTATGGGGTAATAATCTAAAATAATATGAGTATACCTTTCTCTTCTCTTTGGAGGATGTGGATCTCCAGAAAGGATTAGGAAAACGCAGAGTGGAGGGGAAGGGGGAGGTGGGTTTGGGGGGGGGGGGGGGGTAGAAGAGGCGATATAATTGTACTGTACTTATGTTAATGTTTTTTTTAAAGAGTAAGCTTGTATCATTTATTTATATGAAAATCAATAAATATTTAAATAAAAAAAAAGAGGGGGCACTGGGAGAAGTAGGGGATCAGAGAAGTCAGGATCGAACGGCCTTTACACAGTGCAGAGGATTAACCCCTTAGGTCCACAGTGTGTATAACAAGCTTGCTTTACTGCATATACAGACTGATTTTACTGTTGTGGGTTTAGTAACACTTTAAGTTGTGTGTTCACATATATTTTACCCCCCCCCCACAAAAAAATTTAAAACAAAAACAAATCAATCTGGCAATATTTTCTGATGTCAGAGTTGAGCCATAGCAGTAGTATTAGATTTAATAATACATTTTATGTTAACTGGAGAACTTTACAAATTGCAAGTGAGTCCACTAATGATTGTTTAATGCTAAATGCTGTAGTAGGGCACACTGGACAATGCCTATTTCTGAAATCGTTTACCTAGACCTTTCTGCCTACTACTTCACTATAGCTGAAAAACGTATAATATAAACAAAAAACTCAAATGCAGCTTTACCAAACATACTAGTATGCTATTTGGGGGAGGCAAAGGGGTGGGCCAATTACTTCATAATCACCAACTCACTGAATCAGAGTATGCCTTGCATTCATTGAAAAAAATACAGGACATTTACTGAATGGCAGCGGTACGGGAGCAAACGACTCTGAATGTTCAGCATACAGACAGCAAGCCACTCTAGAAGCCCGTGGAACAGGGCAGCACTGACTTATGTAGCACAGAGTACGAGAGTGAATTACAGCATTCCCAGTGGCTCTCTAGATGTGACAAATGGATAATTACATGTAAACACGCTGGCCCAAAGGGGGTTCTTTTGATTTTTATTTTATGTTAATAGGGCCGTTTTAAGTTTGCGGTAATCAAAGCCCAGCATTTACTTGTTACCAACCATGTTTTCTTGAAGCTGCATTTTGTTCACTGCACATGGCTGCATCATTTGAAAGCCTATTATCTCTGATTAAACTGACCTGTGCTGCTGTTGGCCAGTTTTACTCTGCTGTATCCACTGTAGTATGAGAATTCTTGTTGTATAGTCTAAGGCTGGCCATACATTATACAATTTTCTTGAGAGTTTTGCTTTAGATTTATCAAAAACCATATAATATGATGTCAAACCTAAACAACACTTTCAATTTTATCCAATTAGGCAGGCCCTTGCACTACATAGTTGTAGGTAAATCTAAAGGAAATTAGGCAGAAATTGGACAGAAAATTGTAAGAAAACTGTGTAGTGTATCGCCAGCCTTATGCAGGCCATAGACGGGTCAAAAACCGGCCGTTTTGTAAAAAAAAAAACCCGAAAAATTGGTTGTTCAATAGGCCGACGTTAATGGTAAAAAAAAAATCTGTCGATTTTCGTCCCGTCTACGGCCAGCATTTAATTACTTCTGTCCCTTGCAGAGAGCCCCGCTATTATATTTGACATGAAAAAGTATTGCGGTTGCAACAATGTATCCATTTCGGATACAGATGGTTTTATTCGGATACAAATAGATACAATGTTGCAACCGCTATACTTTTCATATAAAATATAATAGCGTACTGGAATTCTTCTTTTTCTTCTTCTTTTTCTTCTTGCAGGTCACGGCTCATGTGCAGATTTATTATAGGTAAAACGATCGGCCGATTTGCCCATCATTGCCGGGAAAATCAGCCGATCGGCAAATTCAGCTGATTTTTTTCCAACTTACCAATAAAAAAAATGTGCCAAAACGTTGAAAAATGGCCGACCAATTAACCCACTAATGGTGCGAAAATCGGCCAATTTTTCTTTTTTTTCGGCCACAAAATCAGCGGATTTTCGACCCGTCTATGGCCTACATAAGGCTAGCCATACATTATACAATTTTCTTGAGATTTGTGGTTTAGCTTTACCAAAAACCATATAATATGAGGTCAAACCTAACAACCCTTTCAATTGTATCCAATTAGGCAGGCTCTTGCACTACATAGTTGAAGGTAAATCTAAAGGAAATTGGGCAGAAATTGGACAAAAAATTGTATAGTGTATGGCCAGTCCATGTCTGTGCCCTTTTATCTCTAGTAAATTTTGGTCTAGCCTTAAATAGTCTGCAGTCTCTTAATAAACACTTGCATGTACTCTTGCTAATTCGTCTTGTCCTGCAGCTGGCCAATTTTACACTGCTGAATCATCTTTGGTGTTTTAAAGTAGAATTCCAGTTACAAATCGAATTCTGCCCTTGCTTAGTATGCTGAGCAACTAAAACTTTTATATTATGCATTTTTTGATTGCTGATGGTCTAGATTACAAACAAAAGTTTAACTTAGACAATCAGTAATCCACTGTGTTTATCAACAACGGTGTGCCTGTGCAGCTGAATTTAGCTGCTCATAGGCACTTCCTTAATCACTAGCCTACAGGGCACTTATACCCCCTTCCTGCCCAGGCCAATTTCCAGCTTTCAGCGCTGTTGCACTCTGAATGACAATTGCACGGTCATGCAACACATCCATATGAAATTTTTATCATTTTTTTGAGACAGATAGAGCTTTATTTTGGTGGTATTTAATCACCTCTGGGTTTTTTATTTTTTCTTAAACCAAAAACCACTGAATTTTTTGAAAAAGAAAAAAAATGTTTTTTCTTAGTTTTTGTTATAAAATGTTGTAAATAAGTGATTTTTCTCCTTCACTGATGTGCGCTAATGAGGCTGCACTGATGGGCACTGATAGGCTGCACTGATGGACACTGATAGGAGGCACTGGTAGTTGGCACTGATGGGGATTGACAGGCATCACTGATGGGCACTGAAAGGCAGCACTCATATATGGCACTAATAGGCGGCACTGATGCATACTGATAGGTGGCACTGATTGGCAGCACTGATAGGTGGCACTGACTGGCATTGATAGGTGGCACTGACTGGCTCTGATGGGTGACACTGAAAGGCAGTTCAGATGGGCACTGATATGTGGCATTGATGTGCACTGGTAGGCACTGATATGTGGCATTGATGTGGCACTGATGGGCACTGGCAGGTGGCATGGATGAGCACTGACAGCTGACACTGATGGACACTGACAGGTGGCACTGCTGGGGCTACACAGATCATCAGGGTACACTTATCATCAGTGCCCTGATGATCAGTGTACATGTCCCCTCCGCGGAATGCCGATTACCAGCTCTCCTCTCCTCTCGAACTGTCAGCGTGACAGCTCGTGAGGGGAGAAATGCCTATAACCGGCATTTCCCTATTTACATGCGATCAGCTGTGATTGGACACAGCTGATCACATGACCGAGCCGACATCTTCGGCTCTCTCCGTTGATCGGTGATTCGCTGTGTCCGAGGGACACAGTGCACCACCGATCTCTGTGCGCTCCCGGAGAAGTGCATGCACGGTTAAAATGGGAGGACATCATATGACGTCCTCTCAGAATGAGAGAGCAGCCTTGTGCCGTCAATGTACTATATGGTGGTCGGGAGGCGGTTAAACCGTTGTTTGTGTCTGTGTGTTCATTAGATCACCGTTTTTAGCTCCTACCCTCCCGCCCTTGTCCTGCTTCTGTCACACCTAGCCCCACCGCCATCCCACCTGGACCTGCCGTCATGCAGGAATATGCTGCAGCTCCTCCTAGAAACAGCCACACTGTCTGGAGAAAGTGATTTTTGCGTGATGGGAGCATTTTTTAAGCAAGCAAGGTCGAAAAAATCTATTTACAATTTCACACGTAACATTTTACTTTCATTGGGGTATATGATTGCTGGAGGATGAGTTAAAGGAAAAGTACACCTTTTGGACAAAAACAATAAATGCACATATTTTTGCAAGTAAAATAATGTGCATTTATTATTATTAGGAGCCTGTAAAGCATTGCACCAGCAATCAGTAGATCATTGATGCCATGCAGGTCTCCTGCAGACCTGTCAGAATATCTGCTTGCCGTTTGGGATGTATGGGCAAGCAGTTATACTGCCAGGAAGCTTCAGTGAACTACCATGGCACTCCACAGCGCCATGGTAGTTCATTGAAAACTACAAGCCCATGTGTGTACATTTCTGCTTATTCTATAATAAAACCCTTTGTAAAAGAAAACTACAAGCCCACAGCCGCTAAGGCTGTCTGGACTTGTAGCTACTCATTCACAGAAAATGTGAATGAGTGATGTGGCTGTGTGGGCGGAGCCTCGCACAGCCGTGCTGTTTTCAAATCTGACAGATAGTACGGGGAGACTTCTCCCGGCACTATCTGTCGGGGGGGGGGGGGCAGCGGCGGGCGGCGCTGCACCTTCGCGAACATGTTGCATGTTCCAATCTAAAAATGGGTGGAACATGTAACATGTTCCCAAGGTAAACTTATCCTTTAAAGCAAGCCTTTCCTTCTACTTTAACTCCTAATATGAAGTTAACAGAAGTTGGCCAGCGGCAGGACAGTTTTGTATCAGTGAGAACATAGACAGCCTCAGCAAATTAGTGGCTAATTTCTATCTGCCGCTCAAAGCAGCCCTATTACTTTTTGATAAAAACGCATGAGTTGCTGATAAAACTACATTTAAAAAAAGTTGTTTTTTTTTTTTTTTTTCCAACTAAAATGAATCAGATTGTGTTTCTGCTACTGCCAAGCAATTGGCCAAGCCAATGCTAAAAGAAAAAAAACAAATATGCACTGCCAATGAATGCTGTGGCTGTGACTATGAAAATTGCAGTGTTCCATAACTCCACCACAAACTTTAGGGCATCCCCCAAACATGTTCTGAAAGGATTTGCGTATTGCCAATGTTGACTTTGAAGCTGAATGAAAAGATCATCTCCCTACTCTACAGAAATAAAAAGTGTTTGCATTGGTACATCTCCCCCATAGCAGGACCAAGCTTCATATGGCTTTTTTGGCAGTAGTTTATCTATTTCCATAAAAATGACCAGATTCACATGATTTCTGATGGGATTTAATTGAAAAATATATATAAATCCTGGGGATAAACTGTGAATCTTGTGTGAGAAAATACATAAAAAGGCCCCACTGTATTGTATTCACATTAAAAATCAATTTAAATGTGTGCCATGCGAGAAATATGCATGGTAGATGCCATTACATTGAATAATAGATTCAGTACAAGTACAAGGTGGTATCAAAATGTTTTGAGACTAGTTTTGTAACATGCCAACAAATGGCAGCACAAGGCTGCATGCACAGTCACAGGAAGCACCAACCTTCATCAGTCAGTGTGTCCTGTGTACATTGGGAGCTGTGCAACTGGTGCTATTCTGACCACGTTCGTTACCACATCTGGTATTTCATCATTGACAGCAATTTAGAACAAAGAGCAAACATGAAATTCTGCGTGAAAATAGTAAAATCTGCCACAGAAACATTTGACATGATTTATCAAGTTTACGGTGATGCTGCAATGAGACGGTCGAGATGTTTTGAGTGGCACGTGCGCTTCAAGAGCAGAAGAACATCACTGGAAGATCAGGAAGACTTTCAACAAACTCAACCCCCTGAAATGCCCTCTTCCCGAACATGAAGATCCATCTCAAAGTTCGCCGTCTTGACAACATTGTGAAGACCCAGCGATTTGCCCAGTTTCACATATAATTTCACATTTGCTTTTTGTTCTAACTTGCTGTCCATGATGACATAGCAGATGACATAGCACATGGTCAAAATAGCACCAGTTGCACAGCTCCCAATGTACACAGGACGATGTCTTTTCGCACACTGACTTATGAAGGTCGGTGCTTCCTGTGATGGTGCGGTGCGGACAGCTGTGTGCTGCCATCTGTTTGCGTGTTACAAAACTAGTCTTGAAAGTTTTTGATACCATCTCATATGTAGAATGTTAAAGCTAGAGCAAAGTTAAAACTATATACTTGTTCTAGGTTGACTTAATAAATTGAAGAAAGGAGATCATCAGGACAACCAGGCACCTAGGATAAGTAGAATAAAAAGTCAGCAATGGCAGCCACCATATTTCTTTAGGGAAAAGTTTCTTTAAAAGATTGTTGATAAATCCCAGCTCTGTGTGCTGTGTTCATATTATGTGGTGTGTTTCAAATGGTGTAGCCTCATCCTAAGCCACTTGTTAGTCCCTGTAGCCCAGCAGGTTTATAGCAGCCCCTCACTGTTTTCCAAACTAATTACACTTCATAGGGAAGAATGGCTTGCTGGCTGACCTGCTGCTAGATCATTACTTTGATCACTGTCAATGCTGTGGGAGCTCAGTTGCCTTTGCAAGGACATACTGTCTGTAAACAGGCATGGACATTTTACAGTAGCAGCTTGCAGTATACACAGTGGAACTAAAAGCACGGTAAAGCTTAGAATTACCTTTTTCGCTGAAGGGTCATAGAACCTCTACATGCACCGAGAACTTGATAAGACAAAATCATATGAGCTTCCCAATTATGCTCTCCTGGAAACATTCCCGAAGAAAGACAAATGTAAAAAATCTTTGTGTTATAGGTAAATTTCTTCTTTTATTAAAAATAAAAAGCTGAGTTATTTTTTAATACTTTGGACTCAAGGAAATATATACTAAGGGGATACATAGGCTACCTTTTCCGGCCTCCTCTTCTAATAATGTTAGTTATTTGGTCATGCTGATTGAATGGCTTCAATGCTTTCTGAGTCACTGACCTGGAACACGTATGAAGGTCAGGAGTTCTGACTTCACTCTGACTTTATAACTTGTGTTCTTGTTCCAGGTCAGTAGCGCAGAAAGTATTGAGTATTGATGCTAAATACAGCGGGGCAAGTAATAGGAGGTCAGCAGTGCCAGCCTCTTATAACTTTTACTACAGCTTTCTTTTAATTGTGAGAATGTAGCTACATAATTACTATTTGTTTATAACATTGTTTAGATCGCTTCTGTCTTTCAAATGATATGTCCCCCTCCATTAATGTAGCGATAAGCAGTGATTTAACACTTCCCTTCTATGTTCATCTATACACCACAATACTCTCCCTATGTGTGTTTTGTATAAGAGCCCTTTTACCCTGAGTTACATTAAAATGTCTGTTTTTACTTCTCCATTTTCTGCTTGCCACTATCTAGCAAATATACAAATATATATATATATATATATATATATATATATATATATAGTGAAGGAAATAAGTATTTGATCCCCTGCTGATTTTGAATGTTTGCCCACTCACAAAGAAATGATCAGTCTAAAAATCGAATGGTAGGTGTATTGTAACACTGAGAGACAGAACAGCAACAAAAAATTCAAAAGAAATGCATGTCTAACAAATTATGCACAGATTTGCATGTTCATGAGGGAAATAAGCATTTGATCCCCTTCACAAAAGATGACTTAGTACATGGTGGCAAATCCCTTGTTGGCAATCACAGAGGTCAGATGTTTCCTTTAGTTGGCCACCAGGTTTGCACACATCTCAGGAGGGATTTTGGCCCACTCCTCTTGGCAGATCCTCTCCAAGTCATCAAGGTTTGGTGGCTGATGTTTATTTCCTTCACTGTGTGTGTGTATATATATATATATATATATATATATATAAAATATATAGTACATGTTGTAAGGGGGATAGTCTGAACTACTAATGGCAGTGGTAATCATTGCACAAGACAGCAACACCCAGGCATGCGCCAAGTAGGTATGTCCTGCACTTCTTTTCAGCAAGGCAGCAAACATAGTTTCAGTGCAGGAAGGTTTTGCACAGTAAGTCTGTAACATAAAATAAAACATCTGCTTGTCCAAGACACTGCCAGGGTGCCCTATAATAGGTTCCCTGAAAAAACAGGCATGTTTTTCTATTGTTCTGCCAGCAGTCAGCCTTTTCACCCATCAGAAGGCTGTCCTGGCAAAGAGAGAGAGAGAGAGGAGAAAGAACCCTTAGTATTAGTCAGCTCACATATAACAAAGGCCTGTGGATAGCTGAGAGACCATGAGAGACTGTAGGGTGTACTTATAGCTGAGAAACCCCCCCTCCCCCCTACTGAAGGCTCCTGGGATGTATTACATCATTTGCCTAAGCCAGGAAACCAGGAAGCAACTGAAGAAATGTAAAAAAGCAAGTTTAAAACAAGTAAATATGATATACTTTTTAAAAAAATGTTACTAATGCTAGCAGCCTAAGGACTA